GGGGTTTTTTTTTTTTTTTTTTGGTACCAGGGATTGAACCCTAGAGCACTTAACCAGTGAGCCACATCCCAGCCTTTTTATTTTTTATTTTGAATCAGGGTCTCACTAGTTTGCTTACAACCTCACTAAGTTGCTGAGGCTGGCTTTGAACCTGTGATCCTCTTGTCTCAGCCTCCCAGGCCACGAAGATTACAAGTTTGTGTCACCATGCCTGGCAGGAACACAAGTTTAAACCTAGTCAAGGAGGTCACAGAAGACCTCCCCAAGGAAGTGGTATTTTAAATAAGTCACAAAAATGCTAGCAGGGACTAGCCAAAAGGAAAGAAAAGGGAATTCTAGGTAGAGGAAATAAGTGGGAAGCTTCAGATGAAGAAAAAGAAAAAGGCATATCTGACAAACTGGAGAAATTTGATGTTAGGAGCCTACTCTGAGAACTATGAGAAATGTTAGCAAGGTGGGCAGAGGACAAATTTAGAGAATTTTGTAAGCCAAATTAAGGTGTTGTGCTTTATTCTAACAGCAACAGGAATACACTGAAGGATTTTTAAGTGGGAAAGTGGCCTCTGGCCTTTAGTAGGATTAYTTTGACTGCTATGTGGAGAATGAATTGGAGGAGACCAAGATAGAAATTAGGATAGAGAGAAGAAGCAGCTGGAAAAACCCAGGTAACAAGAGTGTGGTGCCCCAGATATGGTAGTGGCAGCACAGATGGAGAATGGGAGGATGATTAAAAGAGGGAGGTAGAATGGATAGGATTTGGTGGTTGATTTGATTTAGAGAAGAAAGAGAGGAGTCAAAAATAACTTCTTGTTTTCTGGCTTGTGAAAATGGGTGAAGGGAAGCACCACATACCGAGGCAGAAAATACAAAAGCAGGTTTGAGAAAGAGTATCAGTTCAGTTTAATGTGCCTATAAAATATTGTAGAGGCTGTTGAATACATATAGAATTCATGAAAAAAATATGAGGAATTTTAACTAGGTCATATACAAGTGAAGTTGATTGACCCATCATATATCATTGCCTAAGATGAGAAGGGCAATTTAGCAAGACTCTCAAAATTAAGAAGAAAGGGCTGGGCACATACTTCAGTGGTAAAACATTTGCCTAGCTAGCATGCATGAGCTCCGGGGTTCAATCTCCAGTACTGCAAAACAAATAAACAAACAAACAAACAAATAAATAAATAAATAAAGGTGGGGGTGATAAAACAGTGAGTGGTACAGTGTGTACAAACCAGATGGTAGGGGAATACATAAAAGAAAAATGGTTTGACAATTAACTTCATGGGGGATAGGCTTTCATTTGGGCCTTGAAATGAGGAAATGAGGGACAAAGGGCTTAAAGCATAACAAGGGCACAGAAATGTGAAAATGCATTAATATGTTCAGAGTATTGAAAGTGGTTGGTATGTGTGAAGCTGAAGTTCTAGGGGTGTGATAGACACAAATAAAACTGGAGAAGTATTTTTTTTTTTTTAAAGAGAGAGTGAGAATGAGAGCGAGAGAGAGAGAGAGAGAGAGAAAAAATTTTTTAATATTTATTTTTTAGTTTTCGGCGGACACAACATCTTTGTTGGT